ATATTGTTTTCTATTAGATAGAAAGCTTTTTATTCAATAATATAACTTATTGCATACCCCGTACGATATTAGTTTTTCTAACAGAATTAAGTGATCAACGGTGTCGAATGCCTTAGATAAATCTATGAAAACTCCGATAGTAAACTTATCATTTTTAAAACCATGTATATATATATATATATATATATATATATATATATATATATATATATATATATATATATATATATATATATATATATATATATATATATATATATATATATATATATATATATATATATTTAATTTTTGTTTTATATTTACATTAAAGACTAAGAGGTTTGGTGATAAGACAAACTGTGTCTTCTGCTTGCCCCTGCTATTTGTATTTATATTATGTTTTATGACTTGAAAAAATTTTTTAAGGCAAAAACAAAAATAAAAATGCCTTAATATGGGTTTTAAAAAAGATTTTTGTTAGCTTAATCAGTTTAATATATTTCAAGCTAATACGGGCAGTAATAATTAAATTTTTACTTTTAACAACATGCCTTTTAATAATGATTATAGCTTTCTATAACTTTATAAATGAATAAGCAAAAAGATGAATAAAATAAAAAATCTTGTTTAGTAAAACTAAGATAACATTTTGCTTGAGCCACTAGAAATTAGAGAAATAAATTTGTTTTAATTATATTTTATATTAAAATATCAAGAATTAATTTAGCAATCGCGATGATTCTGAGATATTTAGTGATCTTGATATCTTTTTATCTAAAGTTTTTGATTATTATATTCCTGTATAAGTTTTTATGTTGAAAAAAGTGTTCCCCTCAATAATTAATTCCTGAGACGGATCTTCAAAATCTAAAATGTGCAGTTGAGTGCAGGAACTTAAAAGAGCAGAGAACTATCTTCAAGGACATTCTTGAAAAACGTATTCTTAGATGATCATGTTAAAAAAAAAAAAAAAAAAAAAAAAGATTTTTTACATTTATCTTGTATAAAACTCTTAATTTACGTTACTTGTATTGTGGGTACTTAATAAATCTAAATAAATAAGTTAAACAATTTCTTTATTTGAAACATTTTTCTCCTAATTCTTAGTTTCTTGAGTAATTATTTTTAAATTTAATGTTCTAAAATAGCCTTATCCTCACATTGCTAGAGTTTTTAACTGAAAGAATCTGCATCTTTTAAAGAGTAGAAGTAATTGTTGCGTGACTGTTACGAAAACGTTTATTCATAAATTGTTTCAATTACATTTCTTGTAGTATTTAATAATTTATTTAATATATGATAACTTAAAATACAGCCAAGTAATAACAAATTTTTAATTTATCAATGTGATAGTCTGATTAGTTCAGTCTGATTAGCTCAGACTGCCGTCAGACGTAAAATTGCAAATTGGTTTTTAAATTGCAAAATAACGTACCAATTTAAAATCGATTTGAGCGCTTTGAAAAAGTATAAAAAGATAAATTGTTGTAAATCTTTTTTCGCTCGTTGTTATTAATTAGGATAAAATATATAATACAGCGGCGATCAAACCTTTTTTTTTGTGGCATGTCAATTTGTTTTGTACAGGCCGTCATCAGAAGTATAATAAAATAAAAAAAAGAATAGAGTTTTTGAAATTAAAAAGAATTTTTGATGGAGTTTCTGAAATTAAAAAGAATTAATTATTTTATTTTTCTTGTGATGGCGATCATTACAAAACAGATTGAAATATCGCGAGTTCGTACGCCGTTTTACGCACGTATTTTTTTTTTTTATTATTAAATTATGTAATATTTTCACTTTATAATTAAATTCTTAGAAATTTCCTAAACAAAACTATTTAAAATCAAATGTTTATTTTATATTAGTTGAATTGACCATAAAATTTATAAATATCGCTTCTTTATTCGGATCTAAAATTTTCATAAGATTAAAAAAAACTGACTCAATAATGTCTTAGTGCGGAAAGCACAATTTATTGCTAAGACAGCAGTGCGGGTTAGATTTCTTCTTCTTTTTTATTATTATTTCATTTATAACAAAGTGTTTATTTGTTTGATGAGACGGATAGATAACATTACAACGAATATCTTTATATTTGTATCTATCTAGACGGTAAAATAACATCTAAAGATGTTCTGATATATCTATACAAATAAATAACATCTAAAGATACTTTTACCGCTTCTATGGAGCGGGCAGCACAATGTTTCGACTGCGATGTGAGTTCAGATTTTTCTCTTAAGATATTTTCATATTTATACAAATATTTTTTAAATGATCCAATTTTTTTAAAAAAAGAAAAAGCCCAAAATTACTCTTATTAGATAAATATTTCAAATTATGTTGTATGTATGATAAGTCAGACGGGAACATTTATCAAATTTGGTTTGTCTATGTGAAGCTAACAAACCCTATTTTAAGAGGACGGAAACTTTACATGATCACAATTTATAAACAGTAACATATTATAAGATTATTAAAAATGTCGATGAGTTTAAGTTTAGTAAAAAATGCAAAAAATATTATATTAACTCAATAAACTCTTATTTAGGGAAGAGATAGATAGAATTTATTAAATTAAAATATAGGGTAGAGGTGAGAGTGAGAGAGTGAGGCAGGGTAAAGTCCTGCCAACAGAGAGAGAGCCAGGGTAAAGTCTGACCATAGAGAGTGAGCCAAGTTAACGAAAGGTAAATTGTTCTTAATCATCAAACTATTATATTTTTGAAACAATTTTGATTTGAAATGTTGAGATTTTTTTTAGCTTAAAGTAATTTTTTCAAAAACTTTACAAAAAATAATATTTTTAATGCTTTTGCATAAATCTATACGTTTAATCTTTTTCGTAAAAGTTTAAAACTCTGTAATTGAATTTTGAGTTTGAATAGAAGAGAGAAGTTCTTAGTTTCATTTCAATTAGAGCACTCAAATTCACCTCAGTTTGTTAATGAAGATTATTTAACAAAGGAATACAAGTTTAATAACAATTTTAGCGCTTCTTTTTCAACTTTTTTCGGCTTTTGCCTAAGAAAGGTCTTTACAGTTTTTATACCTCAGTATTCATGAATGTTTTATATAGCCATCCAGTTGAGCTTACTAGAATGAAATGGGTTGCAGCCTTAACAAACGTTGTACCATCTCTCACAAATTTAATAGCTAATAACCACTATTTATACCATTAACTGAGGCAAAAAATTGAATTTTTATTACCCTTAGGAAAACCTAGATAACTAAATTTAACATGTAGTTTTATTTGATAGTGGTCAAGTATTTGTTTGTTTTTTGGCTTCACACTCAACACCCCAGGAAAAAAAGTTTTATAGAATTTCTATAAAGTTTTGAAACATACTGCCTATAGAAACTTTATAGAAATTCTATAGAACTCTATAGAATTTCTAAAGAATGTCTTATAATTTTTATAGAAATTGCTATAAAACTTTTTTTCTATAGAAAAAAAGTTCTATAAAAATTAACATAGGTTCTATAGAAATTCTATAGAATTGATAGAATTTCTATTGGCCATATGTTTTTAAAGTTCATAGAAATTTCTATAGAACTTTTTCCTGCGACTACTTAACTTTTTTTCGTAGTCTTTTAATAAAAATACTTTTTTGAAGACTATTAACCAAATGAACTTTTAACAAAGTTAAAAAGTTAATTGATTTTCTATATATATAGTATAAAAAAGTAATTAACATTGAACCAGTGTTCAAAATGGAGAAAAAAAAGTAACGGGATGGTATTCGGTAAGTTAAAAATACCATCCCGCCTAGTCTTTGTTATATATAAAGATTTATAAAAAGGTGGTGGGATGGTTTACACTTTATAAAAAGGTGACGGGACGGCGTCCCGCCGCATCCTGCCTCACTTCGAGTACTGCATTGAACTATATAGTAAATTTTACTTAAAAAAACCGCCTTTCAGTTTTACCGCCATTTTTCTCTTCTTCAGTTTTAGAACAATTCTGTGCTCACGTAAATGCGTTTAAATTCGATAAACCAGAACTTTAAGGTACTTACATTTCAAAAATAACCTAAGTGAATTATCAAAAATTAATTTGTTGTTAATCTAACTTATATTTTTAAATATAAATATAAACTACAGAGCAAAAAGTAATTCTAATGTTTTGAGAATTAATAAACTTATTTGTCAAAGTTTTGTAAATTTAAAAGCTTTTTTTTATACACAAATACAATTAGGCTCCACTTCCTTGATAAAAGCAAAGCATCGAAATGCGTGGAAATGCTCTTTGATAAGCTACTTTTTAAAACCAGGGATACGTAAAGGCGGCCGAAAGCAGTTGGTATGTTTAAAGTTAAAATGGCTTTTTTTTCTTTTTTTAAATGAAACTTAATATTTCACTTCTCGTTTTATAAGTTTCTTATTAAAAACATTTTCAATCCAATATGATAACGGAGGATGTAGGTGGATGAAGTTTTTCCTTTTTATTTTAGCTATTCAGGGTGCTCCATAAATTCCTTTAAAAGACCATTAGGTCTTATCACAAAGCACCGCAAAAGAGTATTTAACCAGGAAGTTCACGCCTGCTTTCTTACGAGTGAGACTTAAATAGCCACAGCCAAGATTGAACTTCTAGGTTCTTAGCCAGAACTGCAACCACTGCATTTTGGCTACTTATGCATTAGTATATTCGTTTTTTAATTTTTAAATAAGATAATTCGTTTAATAGTAAACTCGCTCGTTTTTTAAACTTTTCTAATATATTATTATTTTTCTAATATATATATATATATTTTTTTTTTTCACATATTGATGTAACTTTTGTAAAAAAAAATTAAAAAAAAAAAAATCTTTTTTAGGTTTCGTCGAAAACAAGAAAATTGTGGATATTTTACTAATAAAATTGCAACCATATAAGAAAATTAGCATATTTCTTTGCAACAGTTGCGCACAGTTCTATAAAAGAATAGTTCTAACTATAAGCTTTTTGTAAGTTCTATGCGCTCTATAGTCAGACAATCTATAGCCTTATATTTATTAAACTTTATGTATAAATTTTTTAGCAAAATATTAAATTATGAAGTAAAAGATAGTGTCGCGGCGCCGATTTTTATCTGGGACTGAAGAAAGATTTTTAAAAGGTTTAAATATACTTTTATTTTTTATATTTTATTTCATTTTAAAAGTGTTGAAGAAAGTAGGGCTTAGACCGTGCCGACTCCCTCTTCTATTCACCGTCACCGCGTTCCCTGAAAAGTTAACACTCTGTTAGCAAAATTAATTAACTTTTTTAAGATGTTACGGTTTAACATAATCGTGCTGCACGATTACGTTCAATATTTAATCTTCATTAAATATTGAATATATTATATAACTCTGACAACTAAAATTGTTATATAAACTAGATAAATTAAGCTTAAATAAATATAATGGAGTACATGATTTCTATAAATAATTTAATTAATATTTAATATATTAATATAACAGTATTAAAGAATTTCAAATATACTTTTCTTATTTCATTGCAAAAAAGACTGCGTTAGATAAAATTAAAACAAAATAGTTTTGATTCCTGACGTAACGCACAGTTTTATGCAATTCATTTATAATGTTTGAAGCGTGAAGTCTGAACTCTTTTGTTTTATTTATACCCCGTTCATACTGACGATAAAACACGTTTTAACTGTTGTATTTTAAACGCGTTTAAAATTTTACTGTTCTCACCAAGTTTAAAATTGGTTTTAATTTACACGCGCGACGAAAAAAGCCGTTTATATAAAACAAGCTCGGTGAGGTTGTTTTGTTTGTGTTTTATTATCCTGAACTGTGTATTTAAATGGCGGAAGAAAAAACTGTTGCTGAAGAAAAAGTTAAATCTAAAAAAAGAGGTAGACATTGGGATGACGAGGAAACAAAAATACTAATTAGTAAATGGTCTGAAGATAATATTCAAGAAAAGTTAAAGTCATGCACAAGGTTTGCTTTTTTGGTTATTTTGGATCGAATTGAAATAAATATTTTTTTCCTTGTTTACAAAATGATCAAGAAAATAAATGTTAATGATTTTTATTTTTAATATAATACTATCATATATATTTATAAATAATGCTACATATATTATAAATGAATCTCTTTTTGTTATTACTATTAACAAGAAAATATTAATTTTTCTTTAACAATCACTACAATACACACATTTAAATTAATTAAAATAATAATTATAAGCATATTATTTTAAAATAATAAGTTGATTATCTATAAGGATGGCGTAATTTAAGAGAAGTATGATATATGATACATTGACATATGTCAATGTGTATATCATACAATGTGTATATATATATATATATATATATATATATATATATATATATATATATATATATATATATATATATATATATATATATATATATATATATATATATACATAAAAATATATAAATATATATATATATAAATATATATATATATAAATATATATATATATAAATATATATATATATAAATATATATATATATAAATATATATATATATATATATATATATATATATATATATAGTATGTATATATATATATATATATATATATATATATATATATATATATATATGTATATATATATATATATATATATATATATATATATATATATATATATATATGTATATGTATATATATGTATATTTATATATATATATATATATTATATATATATATATATATATATATATATATATATATATATATAATGTCTTAACTTTTGATGTAATATATATATCTTAACTTTTAATTAAATATAATTTACAATAGTGTTTTTGAATAATATTTTACAATAGTGTTTTTTTTAATAATAATTTTAATGTTATCGATGTTATAAAGTGTTTTCACATCTTAAAAATACTTTAATTATGATGTAAAAACAACATTCGATATTACTTTTACTCTATAGATAACTTCGTATTTTTTTTTGTCTTAGAAAAAAAAAGATTTGGCAAGAAATTTTGCTATACTTGCAAGCTTCTGGTTATGAAGACAGAGATGAAGAAATGTGTAAAACAAGAATTCACACATTAACAAGTGCATATCGAAATTACCTAGATAATAAACGAAATACAAGTGGAACTGGTCCTTCGAAAAAACCTTCCTGCTTTGATGAAATTGATAAGGTTCTTAGTGATAAACCAACGACATTACCAACATTTTTGAAAAGTTCTTCAGGAACGAATGTTTTAGTTGAAGAAACTGCACATTTGAATAGTTTAAATAATTGTGTTAATGAGTTAAACTGTGAACATATTGATATTGAAGTTGTTCCATCAAGTTCTAAATCACAAGAGTTGGTAAAAAAAGATAAAAGTTTTTACTTTAAAAAATCCAAAAAGAAAAAATCAAGAAGTGATGTAATGTTTGAGCAAATAAATGCCACTGTTAACACGTTTATGACCTCGCAGGCTGATATTGATCGTAAAATTTTAGATTGCCTTTTAGAAAATCACAAAGAACAAGAACCAAATGTTATATTAAAAGTTCGCCAAGCTGGAGATATATATTTCATTGAAATAGAATTTTTGTTGACAGATTTGACTCTAGAAAAACTTACAAGCACAATAAAAGAGGAATTTACAATTGAAAATAATGCCACTTTATTGATTACCAAGTTACCAAATGTACTTATCCGAAATGATAAGGATGTTAAACGTCTCAAAAGTGGGGCTGAAATTGAATTTTTGATTGTAATGAAAAAAAACTAAAACTATTTTTTTGTAATGTTATTTTGTTTTTCAAGATAAAAAATATAAATTTTTAAATATTGTTTTAAAAGTTCATTTACACCTAATTACTTGTAAAGTAATGTTTTTTTATAGCACTCCTTATAAACTCTGCTTTATTGTCAATTTCAATGCAACTGTGGTTTAATAGAGGGTTTACTAAGTCAATTTCTGTTTGTTTAATCCATTCATTTAAAAAAATTTGTTTTGTCAAAGTACAGAAATTATGTAGAATACAACATGTTGTAACGATATTGACTGTGTGTTCAACTGTTGTATCTAATCTTTTTAAAAGACATTGAAATCGACCTTTCAATCTTCCAAATGCATTCTCTATTACAACTCTACACTTACTTAGTGAAGCGTTAAACTTGGCTTCTTCTATACTTAAATTTCCACGATCTGAGTAGGGTTTCATAAGCCAATTTTCAAGGGAATAAGCTGAATCACCGAGAATAAGAGGACCAATTTCTATATTATCAATTATTTTGTTTAAGTTATTTGGTAAAAAGGTTCTGGCTAGACACTCTTTATATAAAGGAGAATTTTTAAAAACTCTTGAATCGTGAGACTTGCCAGTCCACCCAACAAAAATATCTCTGAATAAGTACTTGCTATCTGCCAACCCCTGTAATATAATGGAGTGATAATCTTTTCTGTTTATATAATCCTCTGAATTTTTATAAGGAGCCTTTATTCTAATGTGACACCCATCAACTGCTCCAACTACTTGTGGAAAACCATATAGTTTTTCAAAACTTGCCATTATCTCTATTGTCTCTTTCCTTGAGGGTAAGAAAATGTATTTTTTCAGTAAATTATCAACAAAAAGTTTACAAACTTTATGAACTATTGTACAAACAGTAGATTTTCCTAAGCCAAACAGGTTGCCTATTGTCCGGTAATCTGCAGATCCACTTAAAAAGTAAAGTGTGACAGCTAACTTTATTTCTATAGGCAAAGATTTCCGAAAATTAGTTTTTTGCATAGGCATAAAAATTGAAACTTCCTTGCATAGATAGTTAAAGCCTGCTTTTGAAATTCTTATGTTTTGAATCCAATCGTCGTCGTTCCAACAGAACGACATAGTTTTGTACCAAAAGTGCTGACTGCGAGGTTTAGTCCAAAATCTTCTGTGAATAGAATAATTATAAGCACGGATACAGTTTATCAATATGTGCTGTAATTGCATTCTTTTTTTTTTTCTTAATATATACAAGAACACTCTTAATTTAGAGATCAAGATTTTATTTGAGGACGCCATTTTTAATGTTGAGATTAAAACGTTTGATGTGAACGCAAAAAAACTGAAAACGTGTTTTAATATAAAACTAGTTTTCCTTCAAAACCAGTTTAGTTTAAAACAGCATTTAGTGTGAACGGGGTATTAGTTACAAACGAAGCTCTGGGAGCTCCACGGAGAAGCGATTAAGATCGAACAATGGATCAAAAAAGGAATTTGTCAAAGAAATTTTGAACCAGATTCTTTTTTCGGTTAAATTGGATTTTTTTTCATTTTTGTCAATTAAAATTCATTTATTCATCATCAGGTCCCAATACGGTTCCAGAGCTTAAGTAAGTTTTTTTTTTTTTTAATTATAAAAAGTTTAACGAGCATTTATCGTTAGTTTAACGAGCATTCATCGTTAGTTTAACGAGCATTCATCGTTATTTAAAGACATTATATTACTAAAGTTCAGGGTTTAACAAAAAAATTTTGCATGCAGTTGCATCTTAGCAATAAAATTATTTTGCTATTCTTTTTTTTTCAAAGAATTTATAATACGTTCAAAAATTCGATTTGAAATGGGAAACGGATGTACTTTGGCGCACAATCGTTTTTCAAAAAACATCCAATGCTCAGCTGTAAAAGAGCTTATTCCTGTTTTAGTTAACTCGGAAATAAAATTTATAAAAATGCCACTTTCTGGTAAGGAGATTGAAACTCTTAAAAAATCATGGACAACAGCTAAACAATTTTGGAATGAAATATGTACCTGCGCGTTTAGCAGGTAGATTTTAGTCTTCTTTATGTGTAACTAATTATATATGAGTTAAGATTATGAGTTTTACTTTTAAATATATTTTTACTATTAAGGTGGTTCTCAACATACCCAGAAATTCAAAGCAAATTCGGAGTTTATGGGGATAATTTAACAATGAATGAAGTTTTGGCTTCCGAATCGTTATGCATTCATATTCGAAAATCGGTGGAGTTGATTGAAATTATTATTAAAAAAGTTGATGAACGTCATGAGTTATCTGAGTATCTCATAGAGCTTGGTAAATTACATCATAAATTTGGAGCGGAGCAAAAGTATGCTACGGTAAAATTTTAAATATTTTAGTTTGAAGGATTAAAATTTTTATTTAAAGGATTTGAAATAAAAGTTAGAACTATTTGAAAACAAATGTTTCTTGTCAAGATATGCTTAAAGTGTTAACTGATGGAGCTTGTGGTGTGAACTGATTGTGCTTATGATGTAAACTGATAGAACTTCTTCTGTATTTTCTTATTTAGTATTTTTTTTTTATAGGTACTTTTAAAAAGGCTTCAGTCCATTATTTGTCCAACCCTTATTCTAACCTAATTCTTATTTCTTTTTGTTCTTTTTCTGTTGAAATAAAATGAAGATACTTAATTGTTTAAAAATAAATGCCTGTGTAAGCGCATAAGGTATCTCTAGAACATGCTATTATATAAGGAAACTGTAAAAGTTTATAAGAATATGTGAAAACAAAAAGAAAATAAAAAATCAAATTAAAAAATTAACGTCACTGATCTGTTGTTCAATAACATCAATAATACAAAACATGAATAAACGTTTACATACATATTTATGTATGTAAACGTTTATCCAACACATGGGAGGGCCAGGGGACCAAAAAAAAATTACTAGATATATAGGACTTTTTTTAGAAATTGAAAATTGTTCTCTTACATTGGCGTGCATTCTCTGAAGCATTCCTCCTTACAAAATTGTTAACTACTTAATTCTCTGCAGTTTAAAATATAAAGTCAAAAAAGTAAAACAAATACAAAAGTAAAGAAATAAAAAATTCGTTCATAATGTTTGTATTTTTGAATTTTTTGTTTTAGATAAAAAAATTACCTGGCTAGGCTTAACAAAAATTAATTGGCCGGATTTTAGTTAGCATTGTGCAATGGTCATTAAGTTGACGTTTCACCGCCGTTAGAATTTAGTTGTAGACATTACGTTGATCAAAGTAGCATTATAATTGACATACAAGTTGATTTTTATTGGGCTAATTTTGAGACTTGGCATGTTTTGCTTAGATGATCTTGTAATAGATTACACTAAGTTCTCATTCTATGTTCTTCTTCATTCAGGGAGATTATCAATCATCCAATAAAAATGTTCTCACAGAATAATGAGCTCACTCTTAACGTCAAACTAATTAGTCAATAGATCTTTTGTGTTATAACTAAAAGGAACAAACAGAACTTTTGAGCAGTAAATAAGTACTTGTGTTGCTTTTTTTAGGCACCAATTCAATTGCCTTAGGTTTCCAGCCAATTATAACTAAGTATATAAATTTTTGATTTTAGAGAAACCATACCATTGGGGTAAAGTGGGACAAGTGTGAGTAGAAGTGGGACAAATAAATTTAAAACATCTTTTTAACACAAGTTATTAAATAAAACCTGATGAAATCATAAAACTATTCGACATAAAAATGTTCAAGAGCTTTCACCAATCGAAATAATCAAATGACGACGGGAAGAAGTGAGGCATAAATATTTATTTTTTCAGTCCCAGTTCACCCCAATGTTAACACTTTTTTAAGGTATATTTCAAAATTAGGGCTTCTAGTATACACAGGGAAACAAAGCAATTTTTGCTCAATAGAGGGAAAGTAATTTAATTGTTTATATTAAATAAGAGTATTTAGGCACCACTCCTAATTAGAAATTTCAGACTGTCCCACTTCTCCCGCGTCCCACTTCTCCCCACTCTCCCCTACTGCTTGTATACTTTTCTCACTGTACATCTTAAGAGTAAAAACCACTTCTGCTCGTTCTCAAAAAACGCCATAATTTTATATTTTTAAAACGGAAAGTTAATTAATTAATTGTTTGTTATCTAATCGAGTAACGATTAATTTTTTGATCAATTTATTGCATTTTAAATAAAAATATAGTTGATATGCAACTGTTATGCAGCACTTCTACAACTATTAAAATCAGCCTTTGGTTGATTTCCATGTGTATTAAAAGATTGCACTGTTTATTGATATTTGGACAACCATATAAAAGCAAGATTTGTGCGACAAGTATCGTTTTGCAAAATAGTTTATTATTTTGAAACGTTGTTGAGATGAGGAAAAAATATAGATAGAAAAAGTTTAAAAAAAAAAACCTTATAATATTTAAAAATAGTTTTATCTTTTTTTAGAAAATCTAAAATGGCAAAGAAAATATTTTTTCACATATGCTCGAAATTATATTAATGTTAATTTACCTAATGTTAGTTTAACTGATGACAGTTTAAGTAATATTATTTTAGTTTTCATAATCAAAAGGTAAATTTAAAAATTACAAGCATTTTAATGTTTGGAAAGTTAAATAAAAATAATAAAATAAATAAATAATAGTTTATTAAAATTGTTTTAGCAAAAAAAAAATATAATTTTCTCAAAATATTTTTTTTTTTTTTTATTAATTTTATTTGTAACTTTATCATATATTGTTTCATGCTTTGTAAATACTTTTTATGTCAAAAAATTATTCATAAATTTAGGCACTCGGTTCGAGTTTCGTGTTTGCTATAAGCCAGATATGCCCAAACATAGATATGATAACAGAAGGGGCTTGGGATTCATTGTTCAAGTACATAGTAACCCATATAAAACTTGGAATTCGATTAGAATCAGGAACGTTTAAAAAAGAAAGTGCAAAAATAATAGACTCGTTGTTACAAAGTCATACAACTTGATTTAATTAGAAAGTATTTCCTTTTTTAAAAACATTTTATTTATTTCTATTTATTTATTTTGATATTTTGAAATTAAATAGGTTGTAAATTTATATAAGAATAAAAATTGTAAATTAAAATTGCAAACTAAAATTGTAAATTATAATTGTAAATTCTCTTTTATAACAAAACCAATTTTAATAACTTTTTTTTTATAAATATTTCACGATTCACATAAATATTTCACGATTTGACGATACGATAGACGACAAATATTAAACTAAAATCTTCATCAATTAAAAGGTTTTATCAAATCTTTCTTTGATTAAAAACTTTGTTATTTTGCAGATAAAGTTAAGATAAAGGCTCTTAAATTTTTTGCTGGCATCAACCAGGTAGCTATAATACTTTTGGAAAAAATATTTTCAGCGCTATACTCGCGGGAGCAGACGCAACTACATAGAGTAGTAACAGTTTTCAAAAAAGCTTGCTAAAAATGTTAACACTTAAATTTTTTACAGTTTTTTTTTTTTTTACAGTTACACCTTCAGGCCCATACCAACTGGGGAGGGGGAAAATGCCCCTGCTGCGCATTTGCCCCCCTCCCTTCAAATAAAAAGTAATACTGAAGAAATTGACTGAACTATTTCTTTAGAATTATTTCGGGGTAGTACTGCCCTCCTCCCTAAATATAATTTTTGTTCCGACGGATCTGCACTTTGAAGAAAATTTTTTATTAATGAAACATATAATAAAGCATCACTTTCAGAAATCAAAACAATGTTAAGTTATTTAAAGATTTCAAAAGGGAAAATGTTCCCTTTTGAATGGACAAAGTCGAGTTTGATAGAAATGAAAGTGAAAGAAAAAAACTTACAAAAGATTGAAAGTTATTTAAGAAAGCCTAAACTTTAGCGTAAAGCTAATCAAAAAAATTTATAGCAGCAATAAATATTTAGATAAAAATAGAACATACAAAGATGTTGAAAATGTTATAAAGAAAAATATTATGAAAAAACAAACAAAATTTGGAAGATAAGTAACGAAGAAAAATTTACGAGTTGATGGAATTTATGATATTGTGTTCACCGAATTAAATTGAAGAAAGACGGACGACCGAGAGCGATAATACTTAACTTACAAAAATACAAAAACAAATAGCAAAAAATATTGAAAGAATCGTATCGTCTAAAAGAAACCGATACCTTCGCAAAACGAAGACTTTTTCGAGAGAACGTTGCATTTAAAAAAAACTTTTTACGGAAATAAAGCAAAGGCGTTTAAATAGTAAAATTGTAACAGTAAGACATGACAAAGCTATTTATCTTCAAAATATCAAATCTAAAATCAATTTTAATAAAAAAAAAACTGTTTAGACATTCTTAAAAAGCAACCTTTTATTTACAACTTTATATAACTTATATATACTATGTCTATATTTATAAGATATTATTTATGGCTATATTTAATAATTTGGAATCTTCTCATTGTTATACCGACCCTGACAACAAATTTTATTGCAATGTTTTTTTCATATTGTATATCATATACTTAGCCTACAACTAAAAGGGTTTTTTCAGGGATGCCCGGATATAAAAAAGATAAATAACAATTCTCTACCTTAATACAAGGAGTTTGAATCGCAATTTTGAAAATCAGTTAGAAGAAAACAATCACATTTTTAACTTTTTTAACGGAAAATTACATTAGACCAAGATAGAATGAACGCGTGAAAGTAAACGTGTTGAGGTCTTATCTTAGATCTTTTATAGATCGAACTTAAGATTGTTTGGGATCTTGTCTCACAGCTGTGTGATGAAATTTTTTATAAATGAGTTGTTTTTTTACGAGTGGAGTTTTGATGAGTTTATTGATTATATAAATTAAATTTTTTTTGCTATGTAATTCAAGTTTCTCTTCCTCGACTCATTGCTGGGATGTTTTGACTCATGTAACTGGTCAAAATATTAAACGCATTATGAAAACACGATGGATGCAAAAAGAGATACAGTCAATGTTGTAAAAAAAACTACTCAAAAATCTTAAATACTTTAGAGCAATTAATGTGTTAAGAGGAAAACAGAAGTACTGATTTATATTCTGGGGTGTTGTTAGTTGTGTTGCATTCTGGAGTGAAAAAAAAAAGTGTGTTAATCTGAGCATAATCTCGGATAGTAAATGATGAAAAAAGACACAGATATCAGGGCAAAAAAAGGCACAGATAACAAGGCGAAAAAAAGACATAAATGACAGGGCGAAAAAAAAACACAGATATCACGGGGGGGGGGGGAGACACAAATAACAGAATAAACAGGAGGAAAAAATTACAAGATGCTGCATTATCATATGAAAATAAGCTGAAAAGGGAAGTGTTTCTGTTTTTTGAATAAGAAATCTCTGAAATTATTACAAGATTTGAACACCTTCATGTTCATGCTGAAAAAAATGTCGTTCTCACACCGTCAAATCTTTCGAATTATAAGTATGACTTTCATTTCTGGATCATGACCATAATGGCATTAATGAAGAAGAGTTTTTCGTTAAAAGAAAAAGACTTCAAAGTTTTTTTCTGTTGCTCCGTCACAAGAATAAAAAAAAATTAAACTTTTGAATTCCAGTTAAACTTTTTCAGTTCATTCTAAATTACAGTCTTCAAAACTCACATTTTTCAGAAATTGACGATTGTGCCCTTCGACTTTGAAGCCCGTTTCATCGACCTTGAATTATGAGAGAATTTTTTTAAAATTAAAATTGTTAAAAAGTTACATTAGATCTATAATGAGTACCCTGCGTTTAAGAAATCTTACCACACCATCCATTAAACAAAAACTGAGTAATAAAATTGACTTCAAAAGCCTCATTGATGATTTTGCTAACAGAAATGCAAGAAAAATAAATCTTTAAAATGTTGCAACAAAGTTGAGTTATAATCAAATATAAGGTTATAAATAACCCTATATCTAAGTAAGCTTTTTGATAAATGAATTTTAAGTTCATTTTATTGGGGCTGCGCAAACCAAGTTCCGCATAAAAATTTTCTACTACACAGGGCCTATAACTCCTGGATGAGGGGATTAAGGGGACGTGCCCCCACTTTTATTTTAAAGAATCTCTTTTTTTTTCTTTTTTTTTTAAAGAAAATTCTAGATATAAAGATTTTTTTTTAAAAATTGACGATTGTGCACCCCCACTTCGAAATCTGTGTTGTCGACCCTGTTGTATAACTCTATAAACTATTTATATATTTATATTATTAAGGATATAAACTATTTATATATTTATATTATTAAGGATTATTTATGTTATTTATGATATTACTCTGCTTTTAATAGTTTATCTGATTTACAAGTATAAAAAAAAAAAAAAAAAAAACCTAAAGCAACAAGTGAAAAAAATAAAACGATCAATTTTTTATTTTATTAAATTTACTTAAGCGTTGAGTTTAACAATAGAAATCATTGAATTCCAAGCTAAAAACTTAAAATCGAAATACTGATAAAAATCTTTATACACAATTGTTCTGTAATAATTGGCTAAAAAAAGATAAGCAAATTTTTAAATCAGAACGATTGTTCCTATTTAATAAAATCTTATATATATATATATACACATTTTGTTGTCTTCCTAATTTTATGCTTCATAATTTTAATTCAATATTGTAAGTGATTCATAAAAAAACCAACATAAATAAAAAATATATAAAAAAAACTTTTAAAAAACAGCATTTTAAAAATGAATTAAAAATCAAAAAATAAACTATTTCACGGGACCCAATGACTTTGTGTAAGTACACAACCTGAAATATCCATTAAAGTCCATGACTGAAAATGCGCCTATAGGAACGAGTTGTTCTTAGTTGCCCAACATTTTCAGTCATTGACTTTAATGGATATTTCAAGTTGTGTGCGTACACAAAGTCCTTAGATCCTGTAAAACAGTTTAATTTTAACTTTTTAGTCCATTTTTAAAATGATGTTTTTAATTATTCAACAGCGAATTACTTTTTTTAACGATTTCTTTTATTATTTCCGCTGATCTCGTATTTGTTTTGCGCGGACTCCTAAGAAAATAAGTAAATAAACAAACCGACGTCAAATAAAATGTTGTAATAATAAAATAGAAATTGACCCAATTAGAACTAAAAGATGATGGTTATATAGTGGATAACCATCCATGCAACAACCAGTAATAATAGTTTATGTTTTAATTTAACGATTTATTTAATCATAAAATTTAAAAAATTACAAATTTAATTAAATCAATATTTTTAAGAAGGGCGGATTTGCTCAAAACGTTTTGAGTGAATCTATTCTTTTAAAAAACACTGATTCAATTATAGTTTAATTAAACCTGGTTCAATGTCATTCATATAGTTAAAAACTATTTGATATCACTCGTATAAGTAAAAACTATATGAGTGACATCGTAATAATAAAGATAGTAAAATAAAAATAAAAATAGTTAAAATTAAAAAAAAAGAAAATGAATAAAAAAAAATGTTTAAAAAGAAAGATTGATAACGGAAAAAAGGAAATGAGTGGGTGAGATTGAACAAAAAAAGAATGAATGAACGCAACTTATAATGGATGTGATCATACGAATGATAAAAATGAAAGAAAAAATAAAATAAAATGAAATATTGAAATATTATTATGGGATTAAAAGTATGAAACAACTCAAATAAAAGCCTCGAATTTAATAAGCATCAACAAAAAATAAGCAACACCACCACTAATAAAAGGAAACATTACACGGCCGGCAACACGGTTTTTAAAATGAAGGTTGAGGGAGGATGAGGAGGGGGTGGTTAAGTAAACGGATTCAGGTTGTTGCTGAAAAAAAAAACGAAATAAATTTTCAAGAAAAAAATGTATGCGTGGATGTGTTGGAGGAGGCGGGGTTGGGATAGAGACGCAATAAAAAAAAAAAAATTTAAAACTTGGTTCAATAATCTTTTGTTCACAGAATACAAAAAATTTTAATGCAAAATTTTACTTTTGAGTAATAATAATTTGGGTTTATATCAACCAAGTAATTTGTAATCAACCAAGTAGGCCATAACAACGCCATGGCAACCAATATATAAACAAAAA